CACGCCCCCCCCCCCCCCCCCCCCCCGCGCGCGGAATTCCCACCACCGTCCCCCAGTCGGCTGAGAACAGAACATTCTCTTCCTTCCATCCTCCCCCGCCCTTTTCGCGTCAGGCTATCACGTGAGAGGGGACGCCAGCTTCCGCGGCCGTTGATTGGCTTCCTCTTCCGCCTTCTGATTGGTGGCGTTTGCTCCCTCACTTTCCGCCGTCTTTAGGCTTTCTTCTTCCCTCCCTCTCCCCCCCGTTTTTTTAAAGCCCACGTGATGGGGGCGAGTCACGCGATTTCCGGGAACCCGTCAGGAAGGCACATAAACAAAACAAACCCCAGAGCGGCATGGAGGGGCCGGACCAGGGCTGTACCCTCAGCAGAAGCGGGTCCCCGAATTGAGACACCCCAGCATTGCCCCGCTGGGCCGGGGCGTCAGGTGAGAGGCCGTCGGGTTGGGCCAAAGCTGCTGGAGCTCTCAGGGGAGGGGGGGGGAGAGGGAGGGGGAAACAGAAACCGGGGGGGGCAAATAGCCCAGATTTTGGAGGAAGAGGGAGAAAGTCGCAATAGTTGCCCAAAAGAGTTCGACTTATTAGGAATCCCGTTGGGAGCCAAGGTGGTTGTGCTGTATTCGCTTTTGTGGCTGGAGGGGTTTTTCTTCTTTGCTGCAACCGTGGGAAGGAGAATCGTTTAGGATAAAGGCTGTGGGACGGGGGGGGGGGGGGAGGAAAGCGAACATGATATTAAGCGGAGAAAGAATGGAGGAAAGTTGTCTTTCCTTCTGCAGCAAGATTTGCTTGGAAAGGGGGCGTGGAGGAAGCGGCCGTAGATACTACTGGCAGAGGGATTAGTTCCTATATGTAAGCTATAATTATCTCTCTAAGTGCCAATTTATGGATCTTTCAGTCTTAACAGGGGAGTGCAGAGGATGCCCCCGAACAATTTTGGTTTCTTTTGGTTGTTCGTCCCTACATGGAAAGGGATATGGAAGAAAGGGGCGTGTGCTTTGGTTGTCTGCCTGAAATCCTTTCCCTTCTCCTAGGACTGCAGAGGAGCATGGGGATCGGGGGCGGGGACAGCTTTTATTTAATTTGGTTTTCCTTCTAAGGTGTAGGAAGTAGTTCATGGTAGGTGTGGTCCTGCTGTAGATATGTCAGAATAACTCAGTACTTGCCTTCTGACCTGTTTGTAGACAGTTTAATCTCGTGTTTCAGATGATGGGTTTAAATATTTGTAATACGATCGGGGAATGTATGAAGGGAAGAAAACAGGTATATGCTTGGTTTTCCTGGAGCATGCATGTTTTATTTACCCATCTAGATTGGTGGTTCGGATCTAAAACAAGGAGGGAGCTAGGGTACTGAAGCTGTGTCTTTCAAATTTTTACTCCCCGGGAAAGCTATATCTCTTCCTTATGGGTTAATACGTCGGTAGGCTTTCGATTTTATGAAAGGATTTAGTAATCGTGAATGTTGATGAGCAACCGCGAATATAGGGCGAGGAACAAACTTTAGCAAAGTTCTGTTACTTCAAATCACGTCAGCACCTTAAGATGACAAACGTTTTTATTTTATTGACTGTGGGGGGAGATAAAAACTCTGTATTTGCCTGGCTACTTGTGGCTTTCTTTGACTGTGTCCAATAGAGAGAGGAACCCCAGTCTATGTTATGGGATCAAGGACAAGAGGAGGCGTTGGCAGAAGAAAAAAAATTAGTCTGTTCAGTCTTGTGATGCTCTGGCGGGGGGGGGCGATGCGAGAGGACTCGGCTTTATATTTGTTGCAGTGCGGGGAATTTGTCACAGTGGCAATCAAGTTAAGTCATATAAAAAAGAGGACGAAGCTTGCAACTCGGCAGCTAGCCTTTTTTAATTCGAAAACTCTTTGATCCTCTGTCCCCATCCTGTCTCCTCCCCGCGTGCCGCCCAACCTATTTAGCTAGACACAGTTTGTCTCCTTTTTATGTCCGACACCACCTCCCCCTTCCCTTCCCCCCCCCGCTCTCGATTTGGGGAAAAAAGCGAATTTTGTGACTAGAGAATGTAGCTGCCCCCCCTCGGCTTAGGCGCGGCTGGGGGCCGTGC